GCACACATGCCCGGCGTGAGTTTAAACCACCGGGTCCGGGACTCAAACCACAGTCAACCAACATGCAAGTCCAGCAACATAGCCATTATGCCAACTGCTGGTTCCGTCTGGCTCGAGTTTTAAGCTGTCGGTCCGGGTCTCGAACCACCGTCAACTATGTGGGAGTTCAGCAACAAAGCCATTATGCCATTTGCTGGTCCTATCACGGATAGTTTCTAGGTTTTAAACAGGAACATATTTAAAGGCCTCATTCCATCCAAATATCTGCAGATAATTCAAATGCTTACTGAATGAAACAATATTGTGATAAACATCATTGGTGCATAAAGCTTTTTCTGAAATAATCTTACACAATGTGTGTTCCAAGAACTACTTGTTCAAAGGGTATCACTATTTGAGGTTTTCCGAGAGAATTATAGTCTTATCAGAAGCACATAAATCAACAGGAGGGGCCAATAGGTGGAGTGGTAGTTAAGGTGTTGGACTGTCACGTTTGACCATGATTTGAGTCCTGGACCTGGAGGTTGGAAAATCACATCGGGAGCATGTGCATGCACGTCCAAAATCCCAGAAGAATGGAGACAGGATTGCGGCATAGCCATTACCCTGGAGGGGGAATTTTGGTGGTTAGCCACCGTGCTGTCTCCTGGCCCCCATGTAAATTAGATTTTTGTCATTTACTACATGGAGTTCAGTGACATAGCCATTATACGAACTGCTGGTCCCCAAGGCATGGCACTTTGAAGAAAACTTGCAAAGAAAGGAACATTACATGGTAGTCACTACACTAAGAGCTTTTTAATGTATCATATCCTGGATTCCCTATTTTATAGATGCATAAATTGAAATTCACAGTAAGATATGACTATAAGACCTGAAGCTATAACTGTCTTAATCCAAAGTCCCTGCCTTTATTCCATATTGCCCCTCCTCTAGGAATACCCTCGTTGTTTTCCTGACTGCTCAGAGTCCCTCCTTAATACTTTCACCATACCTTACACGTACGTCTTCTTAAATTTATTTTTTCATGAGTAAGAGACAGAGAAGACAAGCATCCTCAACAGAATCTCTTGAAACAATCCTCTCCCCTAGCCTTCCCAGCCAGTCAGGATCATGAGTGCTTATGCCAGGTATGTACAGGCTGACTGGAAACCAAACTCACAATAATCTTCCCTATGGATTCAGCAACACTTGAGCAGCACATTGCCACTATGTCACCTAGTTGGCCCATTTGCACATACATTTTCTTAAAGAAGTATTTACTTATTCAACTCCATTATTATAATTATTACTTTAAATTTTATTTATTCATTAATTTTTATTTTAATTTGACCAGAGAGAGAGAGGGGAGGAAGGTGAGAAATCAAGCCATCAGGTCCAGGACTCGAACCGTGGTTGGCCATGTGGGAGTGTCCAGCACCTTAGCCACCACGCCACCTGCTGGTCCCCCCATTATTATTATTATTATTATTTATTATTATTTTTTTTAATTCGACTAGAGAAAAAGAGAAAGGGAGAAAAAGCGAGTCACCAGGCCTGGGACTTGAACCCTGTCAGTCATGTAGAAATCCAGCACCTTTAACCACCACACCACCTGCCGGCCCCATTTGCACATACTTCTAATGTACTATGTTGGCATGTCTGTCTTCCCCGATTCCAAGCGCTCCCAAAATGGACTTGTATATGTAAACGACTGCAAAGTGCCCAGCCGAGACTCTAAATATCAACAAATACAGTATAGTATTTTTATTTTATTTTTGCCAGAGGATATATGTGCTCACGAAATAGGGTAAGCATTCCTCAATGAGGCTTGGTCACATCACAATCCCTTCTCCATTTCTACATCGCACTAAGATACTAGGCACCCATGCAAACAAACCCAACGTGTTTTTCAGGCCTCCAGGGTCAGGATTAATGGAATCTGGCTCCTTTACTAGGCGAGGGGGTGGCCTCAAGAGTACAATATTCTGAAATACAGGATTCTCGTCTGTTGAGTGAAAAAGTTAACAGGTTTCCTCACCTATAGATGTTGAACTATGGTAAACTTGAGGGCAAGGAGTCTTTTACTCAGCATTTCCACACTTAACTATCTCCTCTTAAAATTGATCCTATTCAGGCCAGTACGTGGTATGGAGGTTAAGGCAATGGACCCTACACAGCTGATTGTGTGGTTTGAGTCCTGGACCCAGTGGTTTGAAAAATCACATCAGGTGCACATGTGTGCATGCCTAAAATGCCAAGAGGAGAATGGAGACAGGACTGTGGCATGCCATCCCATCCCTGGGAGCAATGGTTTACGTTCCCTCTCCTTTCTCGCTCTCCCAGCAAGCACCATACCCTATAGCAAAACTAAAAAACAAAACAAAACAAAACAAAAGCTCGTGGACCAGCAAATTGTGAAATGGTTTCGTCATCGGACTCCCAGGTAGTTGACCATGGTTCTTGGAACCATCGGCTTAAAACTCATGCTGGGTGCATGTGCATGCGTGCCCAAAATCCAAGGAGAATGGATTGTGATATGGCCATCCTCCCAGGGTATGATTTCTCACTTTCTGTCTATATAGCACACATGGCCTATAGCAAAAGTCTTAAAAGAGGGAAAAAAAAAAAAAAAAAAACTCATAGTCATCACACTGAATCCTCTTCAAGTCCATATTATGACTGACTTGCTTTTTCTAACTTTCCAGTTTTATATATCCAGTTTTTCTCTGCTAGAAACACTATCTCCCTTCTTCATGTGGCCTAGTTCTATAAATTGGTCCTCCAGGCAAACTCTTATGACTCCCCTGGACAACCTGGAAGACCTGTCTGTCCCTGCATCACCCATTCCTCTTCTCATGACACTTAGCACAGAATTGTAATGGCCTGTTTTTCTGCCATCCCACCAGAACATAAGCTCTGGAGAGTCAAATACCACACCCTATTCCCAGTGTAGCATGAATACCCAGTGTATTTATTATTACTGCATCAATCAATGTGTTCACTTATCAATCAATGTGTTCACTTGGGTTTACAAACTTAAAACTAATAGAAGGCCAGCCATGTGGTGTGGTGCTTGGCAGCTGAATCCCACATGGCTCACTCCCTTTGAGGGCTGGAGGGGGTACACTGAGCATAAGTCTTTTTTTTTTTTGGAGAGATTTTCGCTATAGGGCGCGTGCGCTCGCCAGAGACAGAGAGACAGAAAGCGAGAAATTACCCCCCAGGGGGGATGGTCACGCTGCAATCCCTTCTCCTCCATTCTCCTCTCGGGATCTTGGGCACACACGCACACGCGCCCCGTGTGAGTTTTAAGCCACCGGGTCCGGGAAGCGAACCGCAGTAGACTATACGTGGGAGTCCAGCGACATAGCCATTACGCTAACTGCTGGTTCCCAAGCATAAGTCTTGGGAGGAGAACAGAGGAGAGCAGACTGTGGTATGGCCATTCCCTCTTGGAGTGATTTTTCACTTTTTTTCCTTTCTCTCTCTGGTGAGCATATAGAACAAAACTGATAGAACACTGGTTAAAGAAATATCTTTACTTACCCCTCCCCTACTTTAAAAACTGGACAACTCAAGCACAAGAAAACCTGCAGAGATATCACACTCTTAAGTAGAGCTGGGAACTCATTACAAATAAATAGGATAAGGGGCGGGGAAAGGGCCTTTTCAGACGAAACTGCCACCTACTGGTGATTCAGCAGTACTGCACAGATAAGTCACAACCCTGAAGGATGACTAGGAGTCACATTTTAAAACAGTATTGATTCTAATTCAGACATCGAGGCAACTATAAATACTAAGGTCTACAGGGAAAAAAAAATTAACAGAACTCGTATTTTTGTCAGTATCAAAATTCTTACGGTAAAATGCATTTGGCCAACATAAACATTACACAAAACGGATCACAGGTGAGGCCAGACTGGCAAAGATTCGAAATAGCTTCCGAAGCTCTCAAAGACATAGCCCGATGCTTTGCAAAAGCTAACGAAACTACACTACCTAACACCTATAATAATGCGATAACTGTTAAGAGTGCACGCTCCCCGGCTTTGCTGAGGTGAGAAATACCCAGACTCGTTCTCTTATGTATGGGAGAAAATCAGAGAAACTGCCCTCGGTTTGGCCGTCCGTCCGGAGGGAAACTGACGACCTACTGTACGGTCGGGCCGGTGAGAGACCTGCTATTCCGCGCTCTCCTCCCTCGCGCCTTCCCCATACTGCTGTGTGTCCGTGTGGTTACTGTGCTGTTGTCTCCTCACTAGACTGTGAGCCCCAAGCAGGGAAGGAGGTCCCTGTCTCCCCGGCGGCCCGGCCCACGCCGAGGCGCCCAGTGCGCTCGGTGAACCCTCTCCGGGAGTTCGCGGGTCTCGGGACCGCTCGGTTAAGGCCGCGCGGGGGCCAGGGCCTGGCAGTCTTCCCCTGGCTCCCGGCCCAAGCCCATGGGGAGAATGGAGATGGAAAGCGCAGGCCTCCAACCGTGCGGAGGCGGCGTCGGAGGTAAGGCCACCCCGGCCGGAGGCTTCCGGTTTCACTTATACATAGCGGCGAGAGAGAACACCCACTGAATGGCTACCCCGGGGTGGTTAAGCAGGAGGACCGGAAGTGCGCCTGGCCGGGCGACCGC